AAGCAGTGTTCCAGTATCTGAGGGGCTGCCACAAGGCAGAGGGGATCAGGTTATTCACCAGAGCACCAGAGGGAAGGGTGGGAAACAATGGTTGGAAACTGACCAGAGAGAGAAGCAACCTGGAATTAAGGAGAAACTTCCTGACAGTGAGGACAATCATCCAGTGGAACCCCCAGAAATCATGGGCGCTCCATGATTTTTAAGAAGAGACTAGACAATCACCTGTCTGAGATGGTATACATTCTCCTGCTTGAGCAGGGGGCTGGACTAGAAGACCTCCAAGGCCTCTTCCAGCTCTATTCTATTCCATTCCATTCCATTAGTTCTTTCCCAGTATTGGAAGTTGTGGGGGTGGGGATGGGGGAAGAAAATGCTTCAGCCCAATACATGATCGAATGGCTGTGGGTTTTGAAGTCTCCTAATTCTGGAGACTTCTGTAGACTCTTATTTCAGTTCAGGATTGGATTGCATTTCCCAGTCAGAGACGGTATGCAGTTTAGGTGGTCCTTTGGGGACTATTGGCTCTTGCTGAAGACCAGGCAGCAGCAATGGCCAAGAGAGCCTCTTTCAATAGATCTATCATGTGCTCAATTATACCATTCCTAACTCGGTTGGCCCTGGTAACTCACATTTGGATTACTGAAACATGCTTTAAGCTGGGTGCTCTTTCAAACCACCTGGAAGCTGCAACTGGTCCAGAATGGGCCACCTTGAGAGATCTTTGAAAAGTCATTCCTCTGTGATCTGCACTGCCTCCCCATGGATGTCTGCATAATTCAAGTTGCTGATTATCATCTATGAAGCCAACTGAATTACTTAAAAGTCTATCTCTGCTTGTCCCAGAAGAATGAGCAAGGTGGGCAATCTTTAAATCGCTTTTTTGAAGCCATCTAACTTGGAAGGATCCAGGAGGCATGCCTTCTCTGCTGTAGCACCCAGCTTATGGAATATGATTCTTCCCAAGGTTCAGATAGCCCTGTGCTTCCTATCCTTCTGTAAGGTCTTGAAAAATCTAGTTCTTCCTCCAGGCACCAGGCCAGGCTGTGAGATGAACACATGCAGAATGAAAGGTTTTTGAATGTGCATACAGTGGCAATTTGGCTATTCTGTTTCTCTTTATTTCATTATATTATTATTCCATTATTTGATTCCAGATGCTTCCTATAATTTTTTCCACACTTCTATATAATTATAAGTCACCCAGTCCTTTTGTAAGTTGGGCAGCCATATCAATGAATCAATCTATCAATCGGTCAAGGAAATACATAACAGCAAGCTCACCATTAGCTTATATCTACATACCTCTGCTGAACAAACAAGTTCTTCTCTGTTACCTAAAACTAGCAAGAAGAGGTGAACTGGACTTCCCCAGAGGGAAGAGGAAATTTTGTCATAAGGATACTGCATTCAAAAAGGATGGTACTTCATTTTCAACACATGGACTGTGCCTTGTATAAAACCTTTAATATCTCTAAGCTTTTTCTGTCTATCCTTCCCGGATACTCTTTCTTTAAACTTATTTTTACATTTGGATAAATTGGCTTGTCTTGATAACTGGTAACTTGCTTAACCCTGTTCTCTAACTATTATTGATAGGAAAGTTCATCACATGGTCTCATCATAGTCTTTTGCTTGCTTACTAGTCAATTGAATTAGCTTATTCTAATCTAAGGGCTCCAATGTACTATAATATAAAGGCGCAACTCTAAAACTTTTAGTTGTATTAGAATTTGTGACTGCCTCAGAGAGCCATGACTGCATTATGACCACACAAATTACCTTGCTATAGCACCTCGGGCCTATCTCTATGGCAACCCAATAAAATTACTGCAGCCGCCACTCTAGATTTTATTGAACAAATTACAGCTATAATTAACTTTTAAAATATGGTTTATAATAGAAATATATTAAGAAGTGCAATTTCTTTTCAAAAACTGTATGCCACCAACCATTAATGATGAGCTTAAATGGTTAAAATATTTTTATGATAACAGATCTACAATATTTCCCAACAAAATATGGTAAATAAAAGATTAGGGGATCAGGAGAAGCAAGGACCATACGCTTCTGGGCTACACATCTTTCAAAGGTGACTAAAATCATCTCACTAATGAGAATTTCCAGGAAAAAACATTACAGTGCATTACTGTAAATATAAATTATGCAAAATAAATAGGTCATTTCTGAATTACAGAAATCCACAATTTTTTATGTGTCTCAGAATGAAAGTCATGATATTTGGTTCAAGTTTCCTACTTTGGTAGCATAAAAAAAGAGATTTAGAAGCCTCAATCCCCTTCTCCCATTTTGCCATATAGTTGTTTTTCAAGCAAGCTATATTGGCTTCTTGTAGGCTTTTTGGCTATGATTCAAGATCCTAGTTATCAATAAAACCCTTAATGGCATAGGGCTGATTTATTTGTTGGATCATCTCCCCAATTGTTTCTGCTTGTTTCATGAGGTCCACCAGGATAGGTGTATTTTGGATCCCCTCCTTGAAAAATGTCACTTAATTAGTCCGTTTATGTTTTGGTGCCTGTCTTTTGGAACAGTACACCCGGTGAGATTTGGCTGGCTGTAGTATGCAACAACTATTGAAATCTGACCCTGCCAATGTATGCATTACTGGGGTTTTAGTGTATCAAAAGCCACTCTAATTTATGCTCTTTTGTTTTCTGGATGCATTAACCCATACATATAAGTATGAAAGAACCACTAATGGGTTGCACATTCCTAGGATAATAACCTTTTTTGTTACCTAATTATCAAGCAGTGCAAATTGCTTGATAAAACTACTCAACTCTGGACACAACTGGCCTAATTGTGATCAAATTTGAAATTATATAATTATAGGTTAAAATAAATATACTATGTGACTATAATACACAATGTAAAGTTGAACCCAGAGTGCAGAGTATTTAGGGCAGTGATGGCGAACCTTTTAGAGACCGAGTGCCCAAAAACTGCCTCCACCCCATCCCACCCCTGCTCTGCCCCATCCCACCTGCTTCGCTCCGCCCCCATCCCGCCCCCACACCGCCTACACACCGGTCCACTCACCGCCCCCACGGCCCACCGATCACCCAGGCGGCCCAGCAGCACCATGGTGGCCACGCCCTCCACCCACACCCTGTAACATCAAATGCACGTGACAGGACGTGAGGGCGGAGTCTTGTCCCCGCTGCCCAGCTGCCATTTCTTTGGCTGTGCTGCTCTGTGCGGGCCGCGCTCGGGGGTGACTCTCCTCCAGGGGGGCTACTGGTGAGGGGGGGCTGTGGGGGGAGGCGGGGCTGGGGAAATGGTGTGTGTGCCCCCAGAGAGGGCTCGTGAGTGCTGCTTCTGGCACACGTGCCATAGGTTCGCCACCACTGGGTTAGGGTAATTAAAAGAGGAGTGGCACTGTCCCAGTGATCCTACTGGAGGAGGCCTCCTGCACTGGACATCATTAAGGAGCTATTGCACCTCATACCCATCATTACACTTGGTTTGCCTTGAACATCCAGCCCAACCATAAAACTAAGAATCAAGATCTCAGACACTTTCATCCACTATCTCACACTTCTGAGCTGTTCTTCATTATCTTTTTTGTTATACTTTCCCCCCCCCCATTTGATGATGCTGAATGTGATTACAGAATTCTCAGCCAGCTTGGCCATGCTATCAAACCAAATTCCTACTAAATGGTTTTAGAGCTTTTTAAAAAATATTTTCTTTCTAAATTTGAGTGAGTCAAGAGTTTCCTAGACATGTTGAAAAAACACATTTCATTTTAATCACCAGGCACTCAACTACCTGAACTTGCTATTAGAAAGAATATAAAACATATACGTATAAAACACATCAGTTTTCTATGTACAATTCTTCAACTAGAATTTGCTGCAAACAAAAACAGTATTCAAGATAATACACAGCACTTTAGGATGCAAGTATGAGGGACAAGACCAAAATAACCAAGCATGTATTTATTTTTAGTGCTGTTTAACTAATTCAGCTGAGCTTTTGAAGGCTAGAAAGTGTAACAGAAAAATAAATATATTTTGCAAATTTTGCCAAATAAAACTTTTGAGCTTTTATATCCAGACATTTTGGTCTAGGTTCAAAATGTTCATGTTCATACATAGCCATTTGCCTTATCAGTCAGATTCTGTCAGTTTTGACTGCCAATTCTACTTCTTGGTCATATGAAGAGGAACTTCTGGAAAATATACCATATTATCTGCAAAGGAAGTAACCCTATCTTCTTTATTCCAGAAATTCTGAAAAATAAGATATTATTTCTCTTCCTGCCCTACAATAATGTATTGTTTTCACACACATAGCAACAAGTGTGAACCAAAGTACAGGACGTCTTTTTTGTCGCAATATTCAATGCATGAACATCATCTCTTAGTCTAGCTTTCACTGGGTAAGGAAAAACAAGAAGAGAAGAGAAAACAATGCATGTTTCTTTAACATCTTTGGAGAAAAGGTAGGAGACATACATACATACATGATTATACAAGACTCAGAATGAGAACTTCATTATTTGAAAACCAGATTATTTCTTATTTTTTGAAAGGTAACAAAATAATTTTATAATAATTAAATATTTCCCTGTTGTTACAGCTATTGTAGCTTGTGAAAAATTAATAGAAAACTCTTTTGATTTTTAATGAGATAAGCTGAAAGATAACTAGATAAAAGGTGATCAAAAAACTGGGTTCTGGAAAGAAAAGCAAGGTGGCATATTTATGTATATACTAACAGCATGATCATCATTTGACAAGAAGGTTTAGGATAATACTATCACCATCAAAGCATTTCAAGAAAACATCTCATACTTGCGATATACATCTAAGTAATAAATCTGATTAATTCAGCAGGTTGAAGCACCAGTTAAGCTGAAGCACCAGTTAAAAGTTACATTAACTAGCTTTCGAAATTGAGATGAGAAAATCAATATTAATGTGTGTATATTCATATACATTTTAAAATTACATTGCTAAAACATCTAAACTTACTATTTAGTAGAATCTGACAACTGATATTCCCGTCGTCTGTCATAGCATTCTTGAATACCAGGATCGTTCCATAAGATCTTTATTGCATCTACATAGGGGTTCTCAAATGAGCACACTTTCTCTATATCAACTTCTCGAACTACTTGTGCATTGACCTATTGAAATAAAAAAAGAAAATCAATTCATATTTGTCATATAAAATATACACAGACCAATTTTCCTTATTGAATTCCTAGTTCAAGAAATGATTTGTGGGTAAGGAATATATTATTATAGTCTTATAGCAATACATTTTCCACTATAGATAGGAAATGAAAGTAGGGCAGTCTTTTTCTAGAAATGCAGTGAGATTTTTTTCATGGTTTTGATCAGCCATTTTAATTAATTAATTTCCTAATTCCTTTTTGCATCATAGGTCAACTCCCTTGAGACCTGCTGGGTCTTAAAAAAACAACCACCTAATTTTCAACAAAAAATTACCTCAAAATAGTTTTAATCTGGACAGGGAAGCAAATGGGAGTCCCAGATGCAGCTGTTACATTATATTAACAGAACAATTCCTAATAATTCCCTTTTTCTATGGAAAACTGGCCCCAAATATTGAATATGCATTGTTAAATTTTTGAATACCTCCTTAAGATTCCAAATTTACATACCCCCAAAGTGCACATTTTCTTTCCAATATTATGCGATTTTTAATTTTACGGGTTTTTTTCAAAATTTTGCACATGCGCTTCTCATTTCAATGAAAAACAATGCATTTTGGAGAAACTGAATTTAAACATAAAACAACTTACATAATTAAAATTTGCATCTGAGTACAAAGGGAGAGTTCATTAAACGGGGTTTCAAAGCTATCTCTGCTAGTCTTTTACAGCAGCGGTCTTCAACCTTTCTGGCTTTGCAAAGCGGCGGGTGGGGGAGGGATAGAGGGGATGATTCTGTGTGAGCAGCTCTATTTGCGCACTTGCACAAATTGAGCTGCGCGCATTCACTTCTTCCACACCCTAGTTCTAAATGGGCCATGGAGGGAGAAAAGGATTTTCTACAAAAATGCTTCAAAAATATAGCATCAGAATCTTGGGATAGTTTGAGGGTAGGCTGCATGCCACCAATGAATTGCAGGTAATGTGCACCTATATGTACATAGCATGTGTAAATGTACTGACATTTCTATTTGGACCACCAACAAAATGCAGACTGTGCATGTACATGCTTCACAAAATTGCATTCTTTGTGAAGGTGTCTTCTGAATGCTTTGCACAACCCGTTTCCAGTATCTTGAGTGTATATATTCTGTGGAATTGCTTATCTACTAGTGCAGGGGTCCCAACCCCCGGTCTGTGGACCAGTACCAGGCCGCCAACAATCAATCTGCACAAACAAGCAAAGCCCCATCCATGAGATGCAGGCAGTACACAAAACCACACACCTCTGGTCCGCAGAAAAACCTCTCTACACGGAACTGGTCCCTGGTGCCCAAAAGTTGGGGACCTCTGTACTAGTGTGTCACATTTTTTTTATTATTCTTTATCTCCAAAAATACAAAACAAAGAAATAAAACTAACAGATATTAGACACCAACAATGAAAACAAAAAATACAGATGTAGAAACAACTCCCAAGATATCAAATACATCATAGACAACTAACATTAAACATAAAAAATCTACCCTAGCTGAATGCTAACAAATGCATCAAAAATCTAATGTATTTTCCTCCACGTACATAAAAAATCTACAAATGTGTAATTATCTTGGGAAATTGCTCTTTAACTATTTCTAAGTGACCTTTGGAATAACAGATTTGAAAATGCCAGGTGAATCTAATCCTCTATGAAAGAAAATTTTAATTACAAATTTAAGCATTTAAAGAATCTAAAAAAACAGCAAAAAAGTTAGAAAGGGATTAAGGATCCAGATAAAACTGGAACATTTAAACTTTTACAATAAGATTTTGGAATTATGAAACTAACAATAATATTTTCGAATTAATTGTAAAGTGCAAACAGCTTTTTATGTGAAATAGATCCTATTTTAGTTTTTGCAAAACATAATATAAAGAATTACATGATTTCAAAAAAACTGGACACTAGAGAGGAATAATGATACTGAATAACACTTTTAAAGAAAAGAATCAGAAATAGTAGCCATAATACCAATAATGGTAATGATGTCTGGTTCTATGAATAGACTATAAAGCCATTGAAGAAATGTTAGATACAGAACAATCTTTTCCTGGTAAGATAAAGATAACATCGAACGTGAATTTACAACTGATAGGTGAAAATAATGATTTAGAAAAGATGCTTCAATGGCTCTACAAAAAAAATAGAAACAATGAGAGTGACCTGGATAATATTTTTCTACTGAATTTACAATAGAGGCCTGTTAAACCTTGAAGAACTTTGTGCAATGGAACAAGGAAGAAATGAAGAGAAATCAAATCCTATGACTGTTAGTTGTAAAAGGAAGCAATATAATTTTGGTTTATTTGATCAAGGTTAAAATAAGATACTGTTTGTTATTACTTCTGGCTATTCTGCTAACATCAGGACTGAAAGGATTTTTTTTATGGATTTGTTCATAGAGAAGAGATGGGATATATAGTGAAGAGATAAATAACTTACACAGAGTGAAAAGTTGCTAAATTTGTTTATACTTGCGATGAAGTATATATACATAGATATAAAGATATAGACAGGGAAGGTAGATATAGCCTTCTTTTCCTTTTTCTTCTTTTGTCTTGTACTTTTTACTCTTCCTTATTTTCTTTTCTTTAGTTTATATTAGATTTTAATATTATAATCAAAATTCTTAACAAAATTATATATAGACAGAGAGAGAGAGAGAGGGAGGGAGGGAGAGGGAGAGAGGGAGAGGGAGAGGGAAAGAGAGGGAGAGGGAGAGGGAGAGGGAGAGGGAGAGAGAGAGAGAGAGAGAGAGAGAGAGATGTTCTCCTCCTGCCCTGAAAATTAAATTCTGGAGACAATGTTCTGGATCTGTATTTTAGTACAGTTGTCCCCAACAAGGGATTTTCCAAGTGTGAACACTGAAAATATTTCTACAAACAATTGAAACCACATGATGTGTAATTTATTTATTTATCTAACATGGTTCTTAAACACACCTTGTCTAAATCTTGACTTGTGTAAAGCAGTAAATGCTTGCTAATTATTTTCACACACCTTTCAATGAAGCTATTAGCTCAACCAGCTGAAGTGCTAATTTAATTGCTTGAAATAATTATAGTCTGTACACATATCAACTCTCTTTTATATATATGTAACTCAGAAAAGATCCTGCAAAGAAAATCCTGGACAAAAATTATGGATACCTAGATCTAAAAATAAGATATCAGATCAAGAAATATGATTATGAAATGATGAATATAAAAGCCAAAAGTTTCCAACAATATGTACACACCATCTAAAATTCACTGTCCACAGGACACAGCTGTATATATTTTACACACAGTTTTTTTCCACTGGAGTATTAGAATATGGGATGTCCCCAGCACAGGCTTTCAAATTCATGAAGAGGGGGAAAAAAGACAGGACAGCCCATTATAGACAGTAGTCTGAGCTTTGGGGGGGGGGGGAAGCCTTCTTCAGGCAAGGCAAATCAAATCCATCGGGACCCGTGTTGAATAACAATTGCAGAAAAATTGCTAAATTATTTGACAACATTATAAGCCTGCAGGGACTTCGCTCAAGAGTCACCAGGAGTCAACAACTATAAGGCAAGAAAAGAAAAGAGAAAAAGAAAAAGCCAGATAAAACACAACACTAATTTTCTACTCCCACCAGACCAAAAAAAAAAACAAAAAAAACAAAAACAAACCTCTGAATAATTCCAAATCATACTGTTAAGGAATTTTGCTTTAGTTAGTAAAACTTAAATTATAGCACCCACATTTTCATGGTTGCCAGATTTGTGACTCATGTAGACATGCACAAATATTAGGAGAAAGAACTCATGCTTGTAAACTTCACTTTAAATATCTCATTATTTATGTAAAAATTAATTAGGTTATATTGCTTTGTACATTTTCTGCTGGAATGTTTATTTTGTTTAATGCTTCTTTTTAAACAAAATGATCACTATTTTACTCTACTAACAGTGCAAAATAGTGGCAAAAAGAAAAGCTATGACTATCACATCTTTTTATATAATTATAAATAAATTATATAATCTGAATTAACAGTAGAATATAGATAACATTTAAATTAAAAAATATCTAGAGAATTATATCACAGATAAAATAAGTCTAAAATATTAACCAGATTATTTAAAAGCCCTATTTTATTGCCTTTGATTACAAGGCTAACATATCTAAGCTGCAGAAACCCAGGGTCAAAATCAGCTTAATCAAGTACTTTTGGTTATGTGTTTAGTGATATCAAGATTGTCTACATTTTGGCAACCCAGATTTCAATAGCCATCCCTATTTTAAAAAGAGACTAATTAAATAGCACATGTGAGAATTCACTGCTACAAATCAGGTGTAGATTTTTCTTTTGAGTCTTGTATTATAGTATCTTGGCTATTCCCCAAGGAGGCTTAAGATACTAATCTTGCTAAAGCTATACAGGAGACAGAATGGTAGGTATTATGGAGATCAAGCAAATTCATCTTGACTTCAGTGGAAGATTATAAATTAATGGAACTTGACTCCAGTCAGATTGGCATGCACACACACACAGACACAGACACACACTCTTGAAGTCCACGAGTCATAAAAGAGCCAAGGTTGCCTACCCCTGACTTAGGCACAAAGCCAGCTGGGTGATCTTGGGACACTCACTTCTCTCAGCCCTACAAAGAAGTCAATGGCAAATCACTTGAAAACCCTTTCCAAGAAAACTGCAGTGACTTAATGTCCAGGCAGTCTCCAAGAATTGGATTCGTCTGAACAGAAGAAAAATAATATTTTTAAAATGTGCATCATGGATTCAGGTTATTCAGTTATTTGATAATGTCTGTTAATCACAGTTCAATTTAAAAAGTAACCAAAAATATGTACATAGGTTCAAACAATATAAACGAATGTTCCAACTTCTGAATCTCATTTTACTGAATATTTACTAAAATTCCCAATATAACATTTAAAAACACCCAGTTTGCAAGAACACACAAGTTTATTATTTCAAAGCT